GACCAGTGTATTTTGTACGGAGAACCGCGGCTCCGGGGCGCCGACAAAGCAGCCGCGCGGGGCAAAGCAGCGGCGCTGGCCGAAACAGCCGCGCTGGTGACCGTGGAGCACCTCTGCCCGCGAGTTTCCTAGTCTGTGGGCAATAAAAACGCGGCGTCCACTCACCCTCTGCGCTTTCACTGGGAGCTGCAATCCTGAGCTGTTCCTAAACGGCCATCTTGGATCAACCCCCTCAATTTTTGTATATTAATGTAAGATAAGGTTGAACTTCATTCTTTTACATGCGGGTATCCCATTTTCCCAGCACTTTTAATTGAAAAGACTGACCTTTTCCCATTGAATGGTCTTATATGTGAGAGTTAATTTCTGGGATTTCTGTTTTATTCTAGCTCCATATGTCTATTCGTATGCCTGTACCACACTCTTGATTGCTGTAGATTTATAACAAATTTCAAAATCAGGAATTGTGAGTCTTCCAGCTTTTTTGTTCCTTTTCAAGTCTGTTTTCATTATTAATAATAAAATCTTTTAATGTATATTCCAGGAAAAGTTTATGTGTTTGTTAACAATATATATCGGGTATGAAGATTTATCCCTGTGACATTCACGTTAATATTATCAGCCTAACCTGACCTGAACTATAGGCTTGGAACTGCCTACCTGACATCTCCATCATGCTTCTCAACAATAACATTTCAAAACAGAATTCTTAATTTCTTTTTGAAATTTGTTTCTCTTGCCTTCCACAGCTTAATAAATGGAATCATATACCTTTTCTCTCTTTTTTTCACCGCTGCCCCTCCCCTCCCCCCCACCGATATCCAATCCTTCAGCAAGTTCTCTCTGGTTTTTCTTCAGAAAAGAACAGGTCCCAAACGTGCCCTGCCATCCTTACTACCCTAGTCCAAGTTATAATCATCAGGTCTCCCCCAATCCCCTACCCAATATATTCTCTTCACAAAAGTCAGGACATCTGAGATAAATTCTGAAATCTTACGTTTAAGACGGTGGTCCAAGTATTCTAAGATAATTTTAAACATTTGAATTAATGCAATAATTAAAGATCCAAATGCTAGGGATCCTGTGTGATATCTGCACAAAAATAAAATGAGAATAAGTTAAAACTTTACTATTATTTAAAAGGATGCCAATTGAATATTTTTCACAATTAAAAGGTATCTGCAGAAGGATTAACAGCAAAGAGCCTTTTGCATACTCTTATTTAGACTGATAAAGATCTCCACAGAGGGTTTTAAACCATATACATCTGTCTCACCTTTCATCGACATAAATGACACTAATAGTCTATCATCATAAAATAGGATGTTTCAACTGCTCAATGGAGAGCGAAGCTAATCCTCAGTCTTTCATTTGGTGTCCTCCTCTGTCTCTTTCTTTCTCTAGTAACCTACAGCATTTAGAAGGAAATTGTCTTGGGCAGGTATTATAAAACTGTGGCTGTGAAACCAGACAAAACCAATGGGCATCTATGAATCTTGAATCATACCTTTGACCTCATTTGTACCTTGCCAGTTGAATTAATGAGCTAAGACTAAATTACAAGCACACTAAATGTAACTGAGGTGATAGGTGTAGGGTTCAACATGGAACTTACCGTATGGCTCGTCCAAATGAAGTAAAAAGTGGGTATCGTGGGATGTCATCAGGTTTTCTCATGGCCCAGTAATAAGTAGCAAATGCACCAGCAAGGGCACACTGACCCAATGCAATGACAAAGTTTATAAGCCAGAGAAAGACAAATAAGTTGTATACATGGAAAGTAGGGATGTATTGATGGTACAAGCTCTTTCCACCATAGAACGCAAAGCTACACAGAGCCCCAGGACAAGCTTTGGCAATTTCAGTTGTATTAAACATCTGCATTCAGAAAAAAGAACACAGAACATAATATTAAATGTCACTCTAAGAGAACACTTCCCTGTCTTTTCCTCTTCCCCCTAATTGCATGTTCTGTTTCTTCTCTATTATATCGTGCTATTACTCCTCTATTTTTCTATCATATCACTTTATATAATTCTCTAATGAGCTCTGGAAAACATCTAAAATGTCTCATTTTCCATTGAATGCTCATAATCTGCACCTATTCTAATCTCACATTTATCAGTGTTGTTGTTGACCATACCTACTTTGTTTGGTCTTGGGTATATGGAAGGACAGGCAAGCTCAGGAAATACAGTGCTTTCTCTCTATTCTACCCAGTGTTTTCAATACTCCTGCTAACCTGACGCACCCTCCCCTTCAGCACATAGTGGTCTCCATCAGTGCATAGGATCTCTGTTTCAGGACAATTCCCATGACAATTACAAAATGAACTGCAGCAGAATTCTATATTGAAGTAAGTAAATAAAAGAGTTTCTATATTGAAGTAAGTAACTGAAGCAAGTAAAGGTGTTTCTTACCTCTGGGTCACAGGTTTGATTTTCATGTATACAGTTCCCCTCTGGGGCTATGACTTTGTATACAGGTACCCCTGATGTCGCCAAGAAACTGAATAGACTCCATTAAGGATAAATATTGCTGGTAGATTGAAAATAAATGGACAAGAAAACAATTTACAGATAACTCAAAAGTGCATGATAAATTAACTTCCAAAATGCCAAATATTTTCATAATATTCATCTATTTTTCAGGCTTAGATTAATGTTATGTGGGCCAGCTACACTGAGTGGCCCCTTAAAAACAGTAAAATGTATAGGCGCTTTCTTGGCTTATTGCTAAGGAGTAGTATCATATGTGGAGATAAAATAAATCTATAATATGAACTATTTGAGGGGAAATTCAATCAGTAGACTGAGATGTTTTTAGAACTTGGGAAAAAAATTAGTTATTTCTGTAGGATATTTCTCATCTTCCCAGGGATAGAAAACACTGAACACGAACTCCTGGTTCATGAATAGCCATGTGAACCTGAGGTTTAGAGAGGCCAGTTTACCAAAGGATACACTGCCGTCATGACCCAGTAGCAAATGCAGATTGAGAGCAAAATGAAAGTTAAAGCTGGATAAACTAATGTACTAGGAATGTATCCAATGGCTCTGAAATAAAACAAATAGTTGAAATTCAAAATGATTGTTAAAACTAGAAATAAGCTTTAGAATGAATCAATTCAAAGAAAACTGGTAATAACCATGTACTCTTTTTTGGTGATCATTCTGGCATATTCTCAGTTGGTTTTACATTTTTGTTTATTTATTTACCTATTTTTAAAAGTAAGTTGAGGCATTTTTCCCATGCACATGTCGACTCCTGCCTAAAGTTCCGCAGATTTCCTCCCTTTGGTTACTTCTGTCTGACCCATGAAGATTTGATACATTGCAATCATGACATTTCTTCCTTTTGTTTAGATTCTTAGACTTCTAAAATTGAAGAAGACCTTGAAGATCATGTGTCACACTGTGGGAATCCCCCACTAATTCAGGAATCCCCTATACTACCTTCAGGATGTGTTCACCAGCCTTTGGTGAACATGTTGAGTGATGGGTACTTACTTTCGCATGACATGGCTTATTCTATTTTCTTATTAAGGTTATTAGAAATTTCCTTCATATTTGCCTGTTTGTAAATTATATCCTCTAACTTCTGGAGAAGAAATGACCACTTTACCATTTTTTCCACATAGCAACCCTTCAGGTAATTCCTTATTCTTTTTTCCTTTATAAAATATAATTTCTCTTTGCAGTTACATGTATTTTTAAATTACAAATTTAAATTAAATATGAAAATTTAATTTCTAAAATGCAATTTTAGAAAATATAATTATCAAGGATAATTTCTTTGATATTTTCTAATAGGACATGACTTGTGAAATGTTCACTATCTGATTGCACTACTTCTAGTGACTTCTGTTACATGACCTTTCAGCACATGACACTGGATAAACACAACACTGTTTCATATGGCCACTGAGAAATAAGGTGAAAATTTTATCACTCCTAATGCATTGACACTTAGATTCATTTTGTATTTGCTACCTTATTCCCCTCACTATTTAAGCTATACTGTTTTCTCTTTCTCCATATGCTGTTAATTATTGTATGTCCTTAGGTTTACCCTGTATTCTCATGCCTATTTGAGTCATTATCCCCCGAGCAAACCATCAACCTGTTGCAGTTTTACTGGAAGTTTAACACAAACACATATGCTCACACAAATGCACATTTAGAAGTGAAACAAGTAGAGCAAGTTACAGTGAACTGCACAATATCATACTACTTAAGAAATAAACCCAGAAAATCAGTGGTTTTCAGTGGCTAATGATAGGGCTTCAGTTATTGTGGGAAGGAGAGAGAGTTTAAGTGCTTGTTAACTATTTAAACCACTGGCTTCAGGTGGCACTATTATAATAAAATAATATGGCAATTTTGTTGAAATAATCCTTAAAGACTGTTAAAAATAATTTGGTTCTTGATCATTGACAATGTAGTTTCCATCACGCTAAGTAGAGAGCACGGGCTGTTAGCTTTAGAATAATGCTTTCCCGGTTACTTCCATGCATTATTAAAAAGTCCAGAGTATTATTCTTGAGTGACCTTTTGGAATAGTGTGGAAACTGTAGGGGTTATTTTCTCTCAGCATGAATTTCATGAAAGATTTAATGCTTATTTTGTAACTTAAATAAAATGAAAATGGCTCTGGGTTTAAAGTGTTCCTAAATTATAAGCTTTAGATATGAAATGTATAGTCTGGTGCTGCTAGAATCAATTGTCCTGTCTATTAGAAAATTTTGTCACTCAGACAGAAGTGGCAATAGCATATAACTGACTTTATAGAATTATGGTGATTTAAAGTTTTGCAAATAATCTCAACCATAAATATGAACATATGACCCAGTATGAAAATAATATAACATGTAATCTAGCTAGCTTTTATATAGCACTTTATCACTTACTTTCACACGTGTCATTCTCCTAACACATATTTGGTTTTCAAAAAATGCTAATACAAACACTAGATAGGTTTTACCCTTATTTTACCCTATGATAATTGAGGTTTGGGGATATTAAAGGACTTGTTAGTGGTGATTTTTCTAATAAGTGGCAGAGTGTGAACTTGAACAAATTTTCCTGAATGGAAAATGCTTTCTTTTAAAAGTCTTCTTAAAAGGAAAACAGGTAAGACATTTATGCAAAGGACAGTGACTGATTTTTACTGACTCATACACTTTAGCTGAGTTTCTACATTAAGGGCCTTACTTGCTTCCTTCCTTCAGCAGGATAATGGCCACTCGGATTCGATTCCTGAGGAAGATCAGCATGAGGATGACAGTCACTTCAATGATGCAGAGTATTATCACTTTGAACAGGAAAAAAAAAAAAATCAGTCTGTAATACAAGTAGATACAGAAACAAACTTTCCCTAAACGCTAGGATTGAACTTTATGATTATTTCTGATAATTCTGACATCTCATACTCTAAGCAGTGTTATCTCTCTCAAAATACCAATCTTAGAAATTAATTTTCAAAACCTCCACAAAATCCTAAGAAATCTAGATTAAAACCTTTAGCAACAGCTTGAATTTCTCTTTTGGAAAGCATTCATCCCATCCATAAAAACATTTCACACAACTTTTAGAAATTAGAAAATAGGCATGGAAGAAGGGAAGAAATGCTTTAGGAATTTCTGTTTTAGATGTTTCCACCTTTAGTTCATTGAATAAGACAATATACAGAAGACACATTGTGAGGGGTTCACATTCCTCATAGCGCCTCTTAATTGTCCTTGCTGGCTGGCAGAGCAGGTTCTTGTCCCATTTTTATTTTGCGACTCTTCACACTATGGCCACCGTTGATGGAATCAGGGTGTAAACTTAACCCAACTTGGTCAATGTAAGTATTAGAATTAAAACTAAGGGAACCTAGTTTAGTCAACTTAGTTTAGTCTTAAAGGTTATACATCTTGAATTGTGGGTTATACAAACTGTGTCAAAACCATCTTTATGTGAAATAAGTGAATCTGCAAAGAAAGAATATAAATGTATAAAGAAAGACAGCAAGGAGAAGAACTCTTCTTTTTGGGCTTCGTTTCCTGACTCCAAGTAATCTTTGAAGTCCAAGTAAACTTTTTTAAAAAAGTAAACTTTTGTTTTTAAATTATCAAACTTAAATCGATAGACTAATCTTACAGGATAAACAATAAGACAACTAGTCAAGGTTACACTTAAAAAAAAAAAAAATCCAGCAGCACAAATCTAATAGACTAAATACGTTCATCTCCTCCCAAACAGGCATTTGATTTAAAAACAGAAACCAGAACAGAGCGTACACCACAAGGAAACATGGTACTCGCATATATTGTCAAATAATTCTGCAGAACTCTTTAAGGAAAAAACGGTTCTTAGAAATTGAGAAAGCAGTAGAACCACCCAGGCTGGCAGGTCAATCTACCAAATGTTCTGCATCTGAGAGGGCTTCCGACCACCTGTAACTTCAGAAAGGCCACCAGGCACTATTATGAAGGAAATAGGTGCCGATCCTAAATGGAAATGACTTTATCACAAAGCCTTAAGACAAAGGGACCATCCTTTTCCAAGACAACAAGTGTGAACAGAGGCAAGGAGCAAGCAGCTGCCTTTCTGGTGTTTTTAGTTTGACGAGGCACTTCTATACCCTTATGGTAAATACCGCCTGCTCTGCTCTCAGTTTGCTCCAGTTTTCTTTTCTCTTCAGCTAGCTTATTTTTTTAAAATAATTGATAATTGAAGCCAAATTGCATCAATTATTATATTTCCTCAATTCTAGGACACGCCCTTAATTAAATAACTTTTTGGGAAAAGTAAAGAAAAACTTCATTAAATGTTTATTCAATAATTTGAAAATGTATCTTGATTTCAGAAATGTTAAAAAGTAAAAAAGGTATGGATCTTAAAATCAAGAATCAGAATCTGCAAGTATAAAAGGAACTTAATGGAAACTTATTTCCCACTTGTGAAGGAATTCAGTCTATAACCTCCTTGCTAGATGGTTATTTAGCTCATGCTTAAACAGTTCCAGTGATGAAGAGCTCATTATTTCATTTTATTGTTATATGACTAAAATTCTGATACATCACACATCAGTTACCATCTCCAAGTAGACGTTCACCCCAAGGTATATAAGGATCTTACTAATGTATCATCTCACTTCTACATCTTCCTTTAGTTATACTGTGTATTTACGTTTTCATGTACATTTTATTCTCTTAAAACACTAATTTAGGCCAGGCCCAGTAACTCACACCTGTAATCCCAGCACTTTGGGAGGCCGAGGCAGGTGGATCAGAAGGTCAAGAGATCAAGAACATCCTGGCCAACATGGTGAAATCCTGTCTTTACTAAAAATACAAAAATTGGCTGTGCATGGTAGCGCACACCTGTAGTCCCAGCTACTCATGAGGCTGAGGCAGGAAAATCACTTGAACCTGGGAGGTGGAGGTTGCAGTGAGCCAAGATCGTGCCACAGCACTCCAGCCTGGTGACAGAAAGAGATTCCATCTCAAAAAAAAAATTAACCCCAAATTGTGGAGTATAACCATATAATGCTAAAATTGTTATCTTCTTTGAACAAACCTACAAAGATAATACATATAAGGATCACTTTATTACATTGCACTGTTAAACTGTATATTTAACTTCTACCTTCATAAAATTGCATATTCAAAATAATTACATTAGAGAAATATAACTGTCTTTTGAACTTATATATGGTCATACACTGCATGACCATATATAACATATACAATGCCTGTCCCAATATTATAATGGAGCTGAAAAATTCCTATTGCCCAGTGGCATTGTAGTGCAATGCATTACTCATGTGTTTGGAGTGATGTTGGTGTAAACAAACCTATTGTGCTGACAGTCATATAAAAGTACAGCACATATAAGTATGTACCGCATATAATACTTGGTAACAATAATGAATATGTTGTGTTATGTATTTACTACACAATACTTTTTGTTATTTCAGAGCGTACTCTTACTACTTACTGTAAAAAAAAAAAGTTATATGTAAAACAGCTTCAGGTGGGTCTTTCAGGAATATTCCAGAAGAAGGTATTGTTACAGGAGATGACAACTCCATGTTTTTTTATTGTCCCTGAAGACCGTCCAGTGGGACAAGATGTGGAGGTGGAAGAAAGTGATACTGATGATACTGACCCTGTGTAAGTCTAGGATAATATATGTGTTTGTGTCTTCAAATTTTTTTAATTTTTTGTTTCTAATTTTTTAAATAAAATAGAGACAGGGCCTCATTATGTTGCCTAGGCTAGTCTTGAACACCTGGGCCCAAATGATCCTCCCACCTTGGCCTCTCAAAGTACTAGGATTACAGGCATGAGCCACTAAGCCTGGCCTGTGTCTCGGTTTTTAACAACACATATTAAAAGAAAAGAAAGAAACCCTTAAAAATACAAAAATAAAAAAAAATACTTACAAAAAGTAAAGAAAGAAAATGTTTTCTGTACAGCTATACAATGTGTTTGTATAAGTGTTATTATAAAAAAGTCAAAAACTAAATGTTATAAAAGAAGAGTCAAAAAGATTAAAAAATTAAAAATTTATAAAGTAAAAAAGTTACAGTAAGCTAAGGTTAGTTATTGAAGAAGGAAAGCTTTTAATACGTTTGTTGTAGCCTATGAGTACAGTGCACATAAAGTCTACAGTAGCATACAGTAATGCCCTTCACATTCACTCACCACTCACTCACAGACACCCAGAACAACTTCCAGTCCTGCAAGCTTCATTCATGGTGTACCAGTTAAAAAAATATTTTGTGGATGGCCAATTAGACACAACTCCAGCACACAACACCCAGTGAGAGAGACGAAGAAATCCAGAGATCTCCTAGCTCCAACTGAGGTACCTACCAGATGCATTTCAACGGGTCTGGTCTGACAGTGAGCAAAGCCCACTCAGGGCAGACCAAGGTGGAGAGGTCTGCTGCTTCACCCAGAAAGTGCATCTGACCAGCCAGTTGGAGGCTCCACCTCTGGCGCTCTGGTCCAGATACAGCGCCTCCCCCAAAGCCTCAGTAATACACAGAACAGGGGGTCTTTGCCAGTTAAGCACTAAGAATTACAAGTGTGGAGTTGAATAATAATCCAGGACGGTATCCTGGATTGGCGCACAGACCTAAACAGATGCATAAGCCCAAAAGGCAGCTGGAAGAGCCTGAGGACTGAGCTATCGCCCCCTCCACCCACCCGAAGAGAGAGGGAGATATAAGCGGGAGCAGCTGGGCGGGCCCCTACCCCACGACCAGAGAAAGAGGTAGCTGAAAGAGGGAGTCAGCCAGGTACAGCTAGGCAGTCCCTACCCTCCCCCACAAACCCTAGAGGGCTGAAGCTCTGACTCTAATGGGTTGTGCAGCCAGTGCCACAGTCTGAGACAAACCCTGAATGATCCAGCTCAGTGGAGGAAGGGCACAACCCACCATTAGAGGGGTGGGACTGGGCTACATGTTTTAACAAAAAACACAGGAAGCCTACGTAGCAACAGGACTGGACGGGATGGCATTCTTGACAACCCAGCAGCCCCTACAGGTCAGCTAAGAGGTGGGCCTAACCTCCCAGTATAAACAAAAGACACAGGAAGATTCCATAGTAACCTGAAGGAGTCCCTAAAAACCCACTAGCCCCTCCACAGGCAGACAAGTGACCTCATCAAGCAGCTCCCTGACACCACAGCCAGGTCAATCCACAAAGATGAGGAAAAAAACAGCGCAAATAAGATGAAACCATCAAAGACCAGAACACTTCTTCTCCCTCAAGGGATCACAACTCCTCAAGAACACAGGATCACAACGTGACCAAGAAGGAGTGTGACGAATTGACAGAAACAGGCTTCAGAAGGTGGATAATAGCAAACTTTTCTGAGCTAAAGGAACATGTACTAACTCAATGCAAAGAAACCAAAAACCCTGAAAAAAAGGTTAGACAAAATGCTAACTAGAATAACCAGCTTAGAGAAGAACATAAACGACTTGATGGTGTTGAAAAACACAGCACGAGAACTACGTGAAGCAAACACAAGTTCTAACAGCCGAATCGATTAAGCAGAAGAAAGGATATCAGAGATTGAAGATCAACCCAATGAAATAAAAAGAGAAGGCAAGACAAGAGAAAAAAAGAGTGAAAAGAAATGAACAAAGCCTCCAAGAAATATGGGATTATGTGAAAAGATCTAATCTACACTTGATTGGTGTACCTGAATATGATGGGGAGAATGAATCCAGGCTGGAAAATACGGTCCAGGATATTATCCAGGAGAACTTCCCAAGCCTAGCAAGGTGTCCCACATTCAACTTCAAGAAAT